CGTCAAAAATTTTAATTAAAAAAAGGCGCCGCAACCAAGAGAAATTTGGGAAACACTACATTGAGCAATTGTTCACATTATAGTTTCAGCTCTGTGAAATGGTTGATGTTTGGCACAGGGTAATAAATAAATTAATTTTCTAAAGTAAAAGATTGTTGTGTTACCTTGTAAGGACAGTTGGCTCCACATGGGATAACTGACACTAGAAATGCACACACGATTTTCAACAAAAACAACTGGCACCGGATCATCTGAAACTGTCACTGAATTGATTCTGCTTGCAATACCAGATCTGGATGAATGGACATGTATTTTTGATTGAAAACATTTCCCTTCTTTTTCATCGTCATCATCATCAGCTGCATCATTCTTCTTCTTCTTCTTCTTCTTCTTCTTCTTCTTCTTCTTCTTCTTCTTCTTCTTCTTCTTCTTCTTCTTCTTCTTCTTCTTCTTCTTCTTCTTCTTCTTTGGCTTCTTCTTCTTCTTTTTCTTCTTCTTCTTTTTCTTTTACTTCCTCCTCCTCTTTCACCACATTCTTCTGTTTTTTTTTCTTTTGTTACGAAAAGAAACTTCGTCGTGTTGTGTCTCTTAAGGGATGTAGCTGTGATGTGTGTGCCTGTCAATAGATACATTATGGTGTGAGAACAAGACATCACATCAAGACAAATAGATTAATGACACTGAAGGCTTTCAGAATCACTGTGGACAACGGTCAATGCCGCCACTGAAACGATCGACTGTAGAAATGTTAAAGTCCAGACAATGCACTTAAATGCACCAGGTTTTAACCCATACGGGACAGTCTTTCTCTGCAAAATGGATTGCTACCTGCCGAGAGCGCCGCACAAAGCACGAACACCGTAACTCCGGCGACCTTTCCTGGTGATATTGAGGTAAACGGCTTGACCACTTCGCCACGGAGACACCCGACTTGGAAACTCCTTTAATCACTCATCTTCTACGACATGTTTGTAAAGGAAGCATTAGTTCTATTTTTCTATCCCCCAAAACCCGTGCCAGGAACCCAGAAGACATAGTGATGCATCTCTGCTCTGTCCCTCATTCCCCCCTTGGAGCATAGGCAGTCAAGCAACTTACGCCAGTTCGTCCAGTCTTTTGCAATCGAATGCAGCAAACCCCATGTCTTCCCCGTCTTTTTTTGTTTACTGTAGCTAGCAGTCCTGCTTACCGGCGATGTGGTCTTATGACTGAATTAGCCCACAAGCCTTTTTTTTTTTGTGTGTGTGGCTGTCTCCGTGACGAAATTGTCAAGCAGTTTGTCTCACGGTTTGATGATCCTGGGTTCGTTTCATGGTTGTGTCGTGAGTTTCACGAGTAAAATTTGTACTGAGATTCTTCGGGTGGCATGAGCTAGGGTGTTTGTGCTTTGTGCGCTGCTCTCGGCATACGACAAGCCCTTCTGCGGAGACCGACCGAGCCGTATGAGACAAAACTGGGTACAATAAAATGGATCCTCTCTACTTTACCTGCGATCTATGTTGCAAAATTTACTTTAAAATAAGTTAAGTTTGTTGCGTATCCACAGGGGAAAAGATCTCGTGGAAGACCAAGGGAAACCCTACGTAGAACTATCATCAGGGAAGGCTCACTCATGGGCCACTCAAACATCCAAGACCTACAACAGATTGCAACGAACCGCCATGCATGGAGAGTCATGACCTCTGCCCTATGTGCCGCACTTGACACAAGAGGAAAGACTAACTAACTGTTGCGTATCCTTTACAGGACGTCGCAGAACCAACCCCAGCATTTTGGCTGTTGTGGTTTTTGAAAGCAAGTTTTACTTCCAGTAGTTTGCCATCGCTTACTGAAAAGTCGGCTCTCGGTACCACAGTGTACACCAACGCAAGACAAATCGTCTTCAGCTGGGTTTGAACACTGCCCCCGGTATTACGAAGCTCGTTCGCAACTCCTAGGCCACAGACGTCGACTAAAGACTGTAAACACTGTATGCCATATAATAATGTGGGAAGTAAAGGCGACAGGAGTGATGTTGACCATATCCCCCATCGGAGTATTTATTGGTCCATAAACTCTTCAACTAACATCATGTAACAGCTGCACCTTAAAAGTAAAAACCTAGCGTCACTTTTCCTTAAAATGCGACACAGTACAATACAATAAAACAGAAATTGTGTTACCTGCTCCAGCGTGCTAATGGTAATCTTATCACTGTTCTAGAAGTGTGTAATACCTTATCTCTGTAAATTACTGAAATAATTGTTGCTCAGCCTACTTGAGCCAAGCTCACCTAGAAGAAGTTGATCTGTCTTAGATTCATCATCATCATTTCGTGCCTTGTTGTGGAGTGTGCGTGGTTTTGTTTTAGCATCAAACATTATCGCCCGAATTGCGGATGACGTCAAAGTTCTTCTTTTGTCCCATCCATATACATCTGTCTCAAGGAGAACTGGCACTGGTTTTTGCCTTCTCTTTTTTTTTTTTTTTTCTTCGGGATATTCATTGAATTCTTCTCAAAATGTTCTTCTCCGCTGCGAGAAGGTCGCCATTTTGCTGATGACTCTTTGCTGGGGTCATACGTGTCTGCAGAGTCATTGAATCTATTTGTAGCTTCGTCTCGAGAGAGGTAAACAAAGATAGTGAGCAGTGTCAAGACTAATTTTTTTTAAAGTCATACAAACTCGTATTTCAAACAAAGGCCGTATACCAAGCACAAGTTTTCCCGTCTAAACTGGTCGTATACAACATTTGAACGTGTATCAAAGCGAACATATACCGAGGTACCCGTCCATTTCCACTTTGTTCTGTTGATTTTTTTTTTTTTTTAGACGATTACCCTCTCCGATCAATTAAAAAAAGGCATTAGAGTTTAGTAAGAGAAGAATCTACTTTGACTCAGTTTTCTCTATTGTGAATACAATTCTGTGGACATTATCAACGTCTTACTTTATGTAACCTTTGCTAAAGGTTATCAACTCTATGTGTAATCTAATGATCTGGAGTTGGATAAAACTAGCTTTCTTTCACACCAATAGTTTTCTTTCATGACCAAGATATTTTGGAAAGAATATATTTCAATGCAGATCACATCGAATTAAATATATTTATAATTCTTTGTATATATTTCCAATTCCAATTCGTCCAACAAAAATTCCGAATTTGATCCTCTTTCAGCCGCCCGGAGGCCTGCTATATCGAAGAATGGTCCTTAGCTGTCTTATATGGTTTCCTTTTATTTGTGGTGTGTAGTCACACCTGATATTACGAATGTTTTCTTCCTTGCTTGGCTACGGTGATTGTGGTTTTTGATTCTGGTGTGATATATATATATAAAATCTTTTTGTGACAGGCGTGCAGCAACATGCTCATAATATTCATAACAAAGGTAATTCTGGACGTTCTTCCCGTAATCTATTCTATAGCAATTGATTCACATAAACTAGACAAGTCATGCAAAGATCATAACGACAAAATACTGCCTGTAATTTTACACCTGCTTTCAGTCATTCTTTTTCTTCTTGTGTTTTTTTTTTTTTTTCAACTCCTAAAATATATATTACAGATTCCGAAAACCCTCTAATACTAAAGTTTTGAAGTTATTGATTCGACACATCATCCTCAATGTTTATCGAACCATTCAGTCTATAAGTGCTCTAATCCCCATTTCAGTCAATCCCCCAACGTCTAGCATGTGCAACGCTGTCCTGCATATTGCTCATGTCTGGTCTCATCCCTATTAAAGTGTTTTTATTGTAGTCTGATCCTGATTACAGCTGAACAGTCTTAACTTGCTTCTAGCAACAGACGTATGTGTCGTAATGCATTCAGTATTTCAGCCTGTTCGTTTGCTCGCCCGCCCTCTACACTAATTAATCGACCGACTATTCTCCGAGATCATCTTCAGTATGTTCTTTAGCCTGTAGCGACTGATAACACCAGTTTTGTGTTGCCTACTATTTTTCTGTGACTTTATAAACGGTGTTAATTTTTAGCAATACCACTTTTAATCTGAAGTTCTTGTGTCGTTTTAATGTTGCTAATTTACCGTCGTCTGCTGAATCATCTACTCGTCCTGTCTTCTTGCGTGCATTGAGAACATCGGCCCGGTCCAGTCTCCTGTACCTACCGTGGCCCTGCCTACAATCCAGTCTGCTCATTGATTTCCTCTTTCCCCAGAGAACTCCTGCACAAAAAAGAAACTGATTCCTGACACATGGGAGTTTTCTCAGAGACTCTAGCCATTGTCATTGAACACATCCTCTTTCGGTCATCTTAACCATGCTAATGAAATCATTTAGAAAGCACGTATGGGACAAAGTATGTGTCCCTAGCCACTTCCTCTTTGTTGTTGCCGCCAAAACACCGCTTTCTTGTTTTACTACAGTTCTTTCTTGAACAAGAATCGTGAAAGACCATGAGGGTTGCACATGTCAAACGATGGATCCATTGGTGTGAATTACTGCACCTCTGTCAGCAGAATTTTCAAGCACTAGGGCTTGAATGTCCGCCTCCATCATAAAAGCTTTACCGGCAAGCATATCAGCTTGTTCCCTTCATAGTATATGCCGAGGTGATGTTAAAAGGTCACCCACAAAAGCGGCTGAACTCTTTCATATATATATATATATATATATATATATATATATATATATATATATATATATATATATATATATATATATATATATATATATATATATATATATCTTCTTGAATTTAAAGAAAACGAAAATAATGTCCACAGATAAAACTGGCTGCCACCCAAAAATAACAATAAATGATGAAGAAATTGAAAATGTCACAAACTTTGCATTTTCAGGCTCTATAATAAAAAGCAATAGAGACTGTTTGACATAAATTAAAAGGGTGATGGCCATAGCAATGCAAAGATTAAACAGCCTTAACAATCTTTGGTTAAGCACCAGCAAGGAGATCAAAATAAGAATTTTTAGAGCATACATCTTCTCTGTAGTAACATACGGATGTGAGTCGTGGACTCAGTGCTTAAAAATAGAATAGGGGCTTTTGAACGTAAATGTAATAGACAGATTCTCAGAATATCATGGACAAAAAAGAGGAGAAATACTGACATCTTGAAAGATCTGAACATCAAGGAAGATTGGCTAATAAACTGCATTCTGTCTCGAAAGCTGAAATATTTTGGTCATATCAAGCGCCACGACTGATTGGACCCAATTAGAACATAAACCATGGTACCAGGAAGGATGGACAGGGGCCGACCGACACGGAGATGGGCACAGGATATAAG